GCATGTATGGAGTTCAATGGAAATTTATGATTTTCATGTTACTGACAAGTATGTTGTGTCGGGCAAGCCAGACCTGTTTGTTTTCAGACAATAAATGGTATTCAGTAAAATGTACCTAAATGTTTACGTAATCATAGGAGGGGGTGGGAGGTAGGTTAAGAGATTTGTTTACTTTTGCTGCCAAGCAGGAAGTAGGGGGTTTAATAATTGAGAAAAATCTGCTTACGTAATACTTGAACGGCCCCTAATGAAATGTAAGCGTGATGTGTACAATTTCGTCAGTCATTCTTCCTTGATTTTTTTAGTCCTTTTGATGAGAAATTCTGACCAGGTATGTGTCTGCATATTACAAACAGTATTGACAAGATATAGTCGAGACAGCTGATATATCCGAGATATATGGCAGCGCCACAAATATTTCCGGTTTCGATGCTCCATTAAAATCTTTGTTTTCGACGTTTTTGGTCACTATGAGGTGTAGTGAAAAAATAATTGCAGGAGATTCGAGAAATCAGTCATTTTTCATATTTCGTCTATCAATGTTGCTTCTGAGATGAATGCCACGATCAGTGTTATTTACTATGGTGCGTAACATAGTATTTACTGATCATACCGTCAGTGTCACCATTGATTAGTATATTTCCAATGAGTGCGGTTAGGAGAAACATAGCTCTGACAAATTCTGTTAGATAACGCTACCGTTCAACAGGGATAATTTTTTGGACGCTCGAATATACTATTATGTTGGCTATCTTTAGGTCGAATACGTTCATTAATAATGTCAGGAAATTTCTACATAACGTCAATTCATTATTACTTACATTCGTCTTAGAATTATCGTGTACCTAGTTTTTTTATTTATTTATCTGATTACGTGGAAAGTACTACGACATTCTAATCGACTGCACTGTTTATTCATAAAATATTTATATATTTTCGGATATCTGGCTAAAATAATCTGGAAGACAGCCCCAGAGGGTGCTTGCCCAACCCTGTGTTTACCCAGTTCAAACATTTGTCAGTCTATTTTATCTGTGTGATAAACGGACATAATTACAGTCTAGCCGTGCTGCTGTTTCCTTTCAACGAAGCTCAAATTAGATTATAGTGATTAAAATGAGCCCTTGAATTCTCATTTATATAGCAAGAGAGAAAATGTTGTCCCAAAATCAGTAAAGCAAAGCAGCCATTCTGTGTAGATTCCATCATCATGGATTAACGCGCCCAAAATTAACCCAGTGTGAATTTTCCAAATTGCATGAGTAAAAAAATTGAATGTGATGTCAGTTTTTCTCTTAGATTAACAGTAGACCACAAAAGATTCTTTTTCCAACTGGACGCTTTAGAGTTATCTGATGGCCATATTCCAAAACAGTCAGCGCCAAAATTACCCTAATGTACCATCTTTCTAGACAAAACTAAGATCACTTTGCCACATTGCAATTCGCTAATACTCCATGCATCTAAAACTTGTCAATGCTACCATTCATTCATTCCTAGACTATCTTAAATTTGGAACGCCTACCACAGGAAGGCTATTTAGATTTCGCCCTCAGCGACTCCGTGGACATAGAAAAACATTGACTGAGTTAAGGGAGCCAGTTAAACTATATTCCCATGTGTTGTACTAAGTATTTCCCATAACTACCCATAAATACCCCTGCTTTGCGAAATAATTGTAAAGTCTGGTTTTATTGCTGCAAGTTGTTCATGGACGTATAAAATGGGTACGAGGGATGTCGTTTAAGTTTTGCATATGGAAATAAAACAACACGGTAGGTAGTTTTAAATGACTTTATTGTTTTCCGAAGTATTCTCCACGAAGATTAATACACATCTGCATACGCTAGAACCAATTTTCGAAGCACTTATTTCACTCGTTTGCTGGCAGTTCCAAAACGGCATTTTTGAATGCGTCAACTGCTTCTTTTGGTGACTGGAACCTTTGACCACGCAGACTCATTGTAATTTTCTGAAAAGTAAAGAAATCGTTAGGACTTAGATCGGGACTATATGGAGGATGGTCTAATAATTCCACGATTTCTTCCGTTAAATACTGCCTTGTTTTTTGGGCTTTGTGCGAGCTTGCATTGTCTTGGTGGAGGATGATTCTTCTTTCGGGGTTGATTTTTCGAAGCTCGGTGATGACTTTTGGCAAACAAATGGTGGTATACCAATCCGCAGTAACAGTTCTTTGCTCATTAAGAGGAATTGTTGCAATATGACCCGCTTTTGTCACAAATATCGCGACCGTATTTTTCGAAACACTTCGAGAACGGATGACTTTTGTTGGCTTTTCTTCACCTTGGAACACCCAAACAGCCGCCTGTCGTTTATTTTCTGGTTCATAATAGTAAATCCACGATTCATTACCACTAACAATGCTGTACACATTTTTTGAGTTTCCGGAATTGAAACGGTCAAGCGTTTTTTGACACCAATTAACACTGGCTGCTTTCTGCTCTTCAGTCAACAGGTATCCAACGAGAAACTAATTTTCTTACTCCTAATTCTTCATGTAAAATTTTTTGAATTGAGGTCTTTGAGATCTTCAAGGACGCCTCAATCTCGCGATAAGTCACATGTCTATCTTCAATGATGAGTTTGCGCACAGCATCGACGTTTTCCTGGGTGACTGCCGTTTTTGGTGCACCCACCCTGGGATCGTCGCTAAGACTCACCCGCCCACGTTTGAATTCTCCATACCAACGGGAAATTATCGACTGATGTGGCGCTTCGTTGCCGGAGACAGACAGTAACTCAGCAAGGCATTCATGTTGCGATAATTGTCTCTGAAAGTTGTAATAAATTATGGCGCGAAAATGTTCCCGGTTGAGTTCCATTTTTCTAATGACACTGTAGTGAGAACACTGCACGTATTGTTGTGAAACTTTGAATTTAAGTTTACTAAAGAGTGAGGTTAAGATTCAGTACTGACGTTCGAACCGCGCGGCCTACTATGTTTCTATATGCAAAACTTAAAAGACATCCCTCGTACACCAATGTTTGTGGAAAAACTTCATTCGAGAGCAAATAATGAGAAAACGTGTTTTTTGGGATTCAATCGAAAGTGTTGACAGAAACGAAAAAACTCACACACACGTATGAAGGTCCGACTAATAGCAAAAAAGTTATGGCCGAAAACCGAGGCAAACTGCAGTTTTTGGCACTTATTGGTACTGCGACGATGGTTTATCGCAGATATTTTGAATTCTTCGTAGGATCCGTACTTATAAATAACCACAACAAAATTGGAGTAGATTGGTCAAGTAGTTTTTGATAATTTCTAATTGTTTATCCCAAAACACCTGTTTCCGGCCATCTCTACTAGTTTATTGAGCAATTATACATGGTTAGTTCAAAGGGCATTTGATAGGTAAATACACCAGTTACGTTTTTTCTTCTTAACAAATTCAAACATTTTGTATTTGTGAGTAATTCGCAACAAAAGATGATAGACACATCCGCTTTGTGTATAGTAACGTAGCTTTTTCGAATATCGTAGCGCATTAATTTGTTCAATTACTCACAAGTGCGAAATGTTTGAATTTGTTTAGAAGAAAAAAAACGTAACCTGTTTTTCGCTCAAAAATAACATTTATCTTTCGGAATGGTTTGTGATTCATATCGGCAAGGTAAACATGTGTATTTTGCTATTAAATGCTCTTTGAACGAACCCTACATATATTGCTGAATAAACTAGTAGTGATGGCCGGAAAACAGGTGTTTTGGGATAAGCAATTAGAAATTCTTAAAAAACTACTTGACCAATATACTCCAATTTTGTGTTTGTTATTTAGAAGTACGAATCCTACGGAATTGAAGAATTCCAAGTGAAATTATCGTCGCATTACTATCAAGTGCCAAAACCTGCATTTTGCCTCGGCCATAACATTTTTGCTATTAGTCGGATCTTTTAACGTGTGATCTCATATTGTAGCTCTCATAAATACCTAAAACTCTTATGTGAAAAGTTTTTCGTTCCTGTCAACACTTTTGATTGAATCCCAAAAAACACGTTTTCTCATTGTTTGTTATCAAATAAAAAGTTTTCCCACAAAAATTGGTATACACGTTTTATGCGTCCATGTTTTAAATACGCGCTTGTACAACTTGCACCAATAAAACCAGACTTACAATTCTTTTAGGGAAATTTGCTAATATGATTAGACTAACAATGAAAAATGAGTCATGAATTTGCCTGAAGTCAATCCCAACAGATACACGCGAAAAATGTTGTACATCGGACATTGAACTGTATCTAATCGTTTATCTGGAACTAGATCTCCTACTCACTTTACTAGCGCGGCATGTACACAATTTTTAAACGTACCGAACTCGATCCATGTGGTTTCTGGTTCTGGTTTGCTTCAACGATGTTTAGAATTTTACACACCGAGACGAGGTTACACAAGCAAGAGTCAGATATGATTCAACACTAAACTTGCCGCAAAATTGTTCTTATAAATGTGTCAGTCAGTGTTACCAGGTCAAAAAAATTAAATTTACCAGAACTTGGAAAAAAATATCACCAGATTTAAACAAAATTACCAGGATTTTTAAAAGTTAAATTTTTAAGCTGTATTACTAGTGAAGGATTTTTTTTTATGTTAGTATACAAATAATTAAATTGTTCAATAAAACTTCACTATAAATTTCCTGCTACGGTTTCGAAGGCAGCAAAATATTATTTTAGTAACACCTACCAAAGATACAATTTGAATACATTTTTCCTGTTGTTTTTGTATGATTTTGAATTACGAGTACTTACCCTTCAGAATTATTATAAAAAAACCTATATTTTTTACCAAAACAAATTTTTATTTTCCAATGTGATGATTATAATACATAATGCTTCTGTAAAGTAGTGTAAGTAAATTAATGAGCATGTTTGTTTCATGTTTTTCTTTTTGACGCATTGTGTTTTTTTACTGCCACAATGCCGCTAATAAATCTTTATTGCAAACTTTACATTTAAAATAAATTCTTAATATGTTGTTCTCAAGATGAATTACATTTGTGAGCATAGCATTTTTTTCTGCGAGAGCTCTTCTGAATCATTGTCTGGTGAATCAAAATCAAATGTATAAAAAGTGGATGGAAGCGGCGACGAACATATAGTATAATGATGAACTAGCGCCAGGGTGTTCCGTGTTTAAATCTATTTGCTTTTCGACAGGTTTCAAAAACAGTTTCATGATAATTACTAATCTAAAATTAAAAAAAAATAAATAAAAAGGCATTGATAAATCTGTTATCTACCATATTAATTACTTACCTTTTTTCTTTCAAATTTTAAAATGCGTAAACGAACTGTATCAGTTTTATTGGTTTAAAAAATGATGAACACTATATACTTTGAAAATATGTTATAAAAAAGCGCTGAAGTAATGATATATTATTATCGGACAATGGATAACGTATTTACGACGAAACGAAATGACGAAAACCAAAACAAGAGCCAGGAAAATACTGTGGTAAATTCGACAACAGCTTAGGGGAATCACCGGAAAGATATCGCAGACCGTAGTTATGGTCAGACTAGATAAATACGTAATTATACAGTACACAGTACGCGAAGTCGCGAAACTCGGTGCCGGTTCGGAAATTTAGTAATTGTTGGTGTTTAAGGTAGCTGAAACATTGTTAAACGTAACGAAGAGTCTACTACTGCGGCCACCGCTGCTGCCTAACGTCGTGCTTTGCAGAACCTGCAGATTTCGCATGTGTGTTTTAGCAATAAAACACCAAACCGCACATGCGTAAGTCATTGCTGGTCTTATGACCACCTTATAGAGTCGAATCTTGTTAATCTAACTTAATTTTGAACGTTTACATAGTAATGGGTAAAGCTGTCGAAACGTAATTTGGAATTTAGTTTTTGGCGCTTCTATATGGTTCCGCCAAGTCATCCCTTTGTCCAGAATGATACCGGAAGTATTACAGTAGTTTTAGAAGCCAAAAAGGGAAGCCCTTTTGGATTAGTTTATACAGGAGGCCGGCGTGCCACACCTTGTCAAATGCTTATGAGACATCCAAAAGCAAGATTCCAGTACTTTCGTTAAGGGTGAATCCTCTGGTTACTCGTTCCACCAGCCTAACCGCCTGTAGCTCCGTACTATGTTCAGACCGAAAACCGAATTGCTCGTCAGGAATCTGACCCATGTTGCGCGACATCCGCCCGGCAGATGTGCTTATGCTTGCACCTTTCACTTACGCCTACTGACGTGGAAGTATTGTAACCGCGAAAAAAATGTTATACTCCCGATTCCTGAAACCGGGATCGAGTGTTAGCGATACCAGCGCTCATAACCGGATAGCATTTGAACGAACTGTTTGAAAGGAACGATACCGCTCGTATTCGAAACGTGATCCTTGCATCAAGAAAACATTTGCAGATGATCATTCCTTGAAATACATAACGAAATATGATCCGAAGCTAAGTCTACTCATTCTTGTAAACAATTTAATTTCTGATTTAGAAACGCATAGTTAATTACAGTTGATTGCATTCTACTTGAAACAAAGATATTCATGCTGCCCGATCCGGCAACTCCGCATTACTCACGGTCGCCGCGCAACGCTGGTTGCCTACACACGACGATTGTATCTTGATCGCGTACAAAGAGAGGCCAAACTGATTTTATTTATAGGGGAGCGGTTTTAGCGTCAAGGCGAAGGCGCGTGCCGAGAATAGCACTTTGGAGACGTCCGCGACCTGCCACAACGCGATTTGTTGAAAGGCGACGACGTCCGCGAAAATATTTTATTATCGATTGGGCTCGGATCGGGTGGATGAGGTGGATGGATGTTTTCAAGTTGTACATTTTGGGGCAATCTTGTTGACTCGCAGCATGCCCTTCGAGTGATGGTTAGTGACAAATTTGCTGTCATATTTACTTTCAAGATCTGCGAGATTACAGAATACATTGATGCCAGAATATAATAATTTCTTGATGCAATTCTTGTGTTTCAAATTTGACCGTCACTGAATCTGTTCCGACCGAGATTGTTAAAATGCGTATATATACTATTATCGATTAGACTTGGATCTGGAGGATGAGATGGATCGTTACCACAGAAGGGAGTTAACAACTATTCAAGACAATTAGGAGGCCTCAAATTGAACAAAGCCGGCTCCTTTCTTGAGAAATTCATGTGACATTCCTCTTGTTACTCACGTGTATCAAGACTAGCCATAAGTAGGCCATAACTAAATCAACGACGATGCATCCATGTGCGTTTTAAATAAAAAAATCACTGAATTAACCCATTGCTGCCATGTCTCCACCAAACTCCCCTAAAATTCAACGTCAACCTTCGTGTGCTCGTATAGTTGACCGAACAATAATTTATCGATCGATTTCCGTTCATTGGTGAGTAATATGGGCGCTGCACCGCATGGTTACCGACTCTGCCATGGTTTCGAATTAATGAAAACTATCGGGCGGACTAACGAGATGTGGTTCAACAGTGTTACATTGGCGGAGGTAGAACATGTTGCCACCCATGAAGACTTCTGTAAAATCAGTCGCTCGTATTCCTATAACCCTACCGGTAGAAGCTCGGAGCCTGCGGCTAAAGGGGACATTTTGATTTTTGATCATCTCTCTTTGACGCGGGAAAGTGTGAGATCCTCCAAAATACGGCACTCGCTAAAACTCCTCAGTTGTTAGTCATGCAGCCCACCACGGAAATACATTCCAGCATCTGATTGTGGTGGGTAGCGCTGCGCTATCAAAGGGCATGTAAGGGCATACCTACCATTAAGCCTGGACCTTAGGCCCGGGCCTCGTGTACACATGGAGATCAAGTCAGTCAAAAAGGCCCACACAATTAGTCTGTAGGCATCTTTTCCCTGCCCTACCTTTAATACCGTCCATCTGACAACGCCTCCCCTTCCTTTATTCCCCACCGCTCGATAAATACACTTGTCAGTCTCGGCGGTGAGGCACGAAACTCATGGGGGAGACTGTGACGCGTGAACCCAGAGAGAGACGTGTGTCGAACATATTTCTCCATCATTTTTAATGGCAGATATACGAGGAAATCTGTAACGTATGAAATACACCTAGTAGCTGTGAAGCATATAAATATACTACAGCCAAAAAATTGACCCCTAATTTTCTGAAAATGCCTCTGAATCGGCCAAAAAATACAAACCTTTTCTGTCCTTGGCAACGTGAAAAAGTTATCAAAATACGAGCGGTACTTTCCAAGTTGGACACACCGACAGACAGAACGACGCAAATGGTCATCCAAAAAACATCTCTCGTTTTCGAACTTTTTCCCGATTACAATACTTCATCTCCAGTGGTGTGGGGAGTGAAAAGAGGCTCCCATTTTCTTTTTAATTTGTTTTTTTTTTTTCAAATATGACATCAAGTTTCCCCTCAACCTCCCGCGTAATTGTTCCTAAAATTTTGTATTCTCGAGGAGGGAAAAGGAAATCCTATAACCTGTGGCAATGGTCAAAGAGGTGGCAACGTCGGCGTCTAAGACGATAGTCGACACCGACACTTTGCGAAAAATACAGGTGTCTCTGCATCGAATGAGTAGATCTGCTATCGCGGTACTACTGCCCCCCCCCCCCCCCCCCTAAAAGTTGTATGAACTAAATACTGCCTGAATAGGATGTTTGCTTTCCATCTCTGCGTCCATAACTAAACGTGTACATTGTTTCATGCTTATTAGCGATTATCAGTATGGTATAGGTCTAGTCTAACGACTAGAGATGGACAGCAGAACTTTGTTTGTTTTTCGTCTCCGTGACACTAACCAACAGTGTATCAAGTTCTTTCATGCTTTTTAGCAATCATCAGTACGGTATAGGCCTAGTAATTTGGAGGCAGACAATGAAAACTAAACAAGCGAATATGAGTACTGAAATGCTCAGTACTGTAGTGTGTCCTTAGATCAACATTTATATATAAGCCCTCCGATGAATCTGCGGCACTGATGCCAGCTCATAGCACGTTAAACATTGATTGACACGCCATGAGAATTTTGATTATCGTATACAAGTCGAATTGATTGAATGATTGAATCAGTCGCTTATTGTTTTTTGTTTTTGTGCAACTGTACGCGTGTGGTCCATGTGAAAATACATAGATATATTTTGCCTTATATCCATCAGGGATGCTTTTATTATTCAATTTGTGGTTCAAAATTGTGAACTGTTTTTGACTGAATGCTTTGCATGTTCGAAAAAGCATTACATGTACTACGTTGTGTTACTTGCGTTCAGTCACAATTCATATAAATGTGTGTAATGTTTATATGTTCAAGGTATTGTGTTTCCTGTATTACTCCAATTTTCTGCATAAACAAGTCTGTAGAACCAGTTTAAATAACTTATGGAGCATTAATTCGTAAAGTCTAAATTTGAATTAGATCCACCGTCCCTTTTTTGAGATACATATGTGCTTCAATAGTGGACAAAACCATAGTTCATGCGAGTTATGTTATTTTACTTTGTGAAGGAAAATAATTTTAGAAATATTGAACAATGAATACGGATGTAAAAGTATACTAACCTGATGCTAGCATTCAGCGCACGTTTACCTATTCATCATAAATAATAATAAACATTAATTCAAACGGAAAATGAACGGCTACTATTTTTAATATATTAATATGCCCATGCAAAGCTTTAGAACGCCACAAATAGACTTGATTATAAATATAGAAAAACAGGTTGATCTTCTCGGGTAGAAAACATCGCGGCATGTTCGACAGAGAACGCGGCGTATAGAATGCAGCTAGCAGATTTGCATCTTTACAAGGAAAAACTTGACCGCCACGCGGTGCAAAATACGATATCTCATTACCATTCTAATATCTCGAGGTGGTAACAAAAAACCTATCAGACTGCCGCAGAAACATAAGGCATTGATGTCTAGTTGAAGATAGATAGTTATTTATTTCATCCGTTCATGTACAAAGTATGTAAACGATCACAGAAAAACATAGTATCTACCATTTGAACAAAGGTAGCCCGCCCAACAAATATTATCATTTAAAGACAAACTATTTGAGAAGACATACGCCCCATCCTAGCTATGCGTTAAATGGTATCTATTGTACTTTTTCGCCCTCCAAAAACGTATGAGAATTCAATGTCACCTCTTGAGGCACTTATGAGACAAACCAAATAATTCCATAGATGTGGAGACTCGGGTCCCTGAGGGCGCATCGAATCCAAACCCAGTCGACCCTGTTACCGTCTTTCATACGTGTCAACCGCAACTAAATCTCTCCATTCGCCTTCCGAGTTTCGTCGAGTGTGGCACAAAAACGATAGATACGGCACCACGCCGTATATCAGATCAGAAACGCCAACTACCAAGCG